GGATGACAACAGCACTGTAGATATAGCGTTATCGACGCCATGGTTTATTCGAGAAGCTGGAAGTCGGAAGACAAATTTGGTACTGGAAAGACTTTGAAGTCTTTGGACTGAGTTTGGTATTCTTACATCTGGTTACGAGGATTTGTATTTACAACATTGTATGTCATGAAGATCGTCATGACTGGAGTTGCGTGAGTTTTACTTTCGTTTCTGAACGGAAGAATTTCGAATTGGGGTATACGACATTGTGCATGAGTCGAACGAGATAAGTTTTTGATGATGGGACATCATTGCATCATCTATTTCTGTTTTGGAAGAGCGACGTATTCTTCTTTGACTACCCTTGTGATCACGGATGTGATCTGAACCAGAGATATTTTCTAATCCCTTGTCCACACTGGACTGAAACGGGATTGAACATCCGTACAATGTAGTAATGTAAGTGGATGAGATGCCATGTTGAAAGGGGGTATGAAAGTTGAGCACCCTATGGCTGAGGGTGACTAGCGACATGTCATCCCTCATTATGGCATTCCTCATCGTGGTACAGTTTATGCACGGAATATTGGTAGACAACACTCTACTTGTTGTTGAAGAGATCTGTGCAATGGACCAGCAGTTTGGTCACAGTATTCTATTGTCCTTTGAACCTATAGTTGAGACATGATATCTTAGTGTCTTTGAACCTACAGTCTTTTACGACACTCAGAAGTGTCAGTGATCAATGTTGACCTGGAATGTGGTGTATTGATCAGTTCTACATCTTATTCTGGATTCTATCTGGATCTGGTTCAGCTTATTGCTTGAGCTGAAGATACCTGCATTGGCTCGACATTGAGATTTCTTATCGTGTCTTTGACACTGATCAGTTTATTCTTTCCAAGTAATGAGAACCTACAGCTGGAAACTCTTGGAGAGGAGTTTGACTTAGCTGGAATGTCTGATGGAGAGGATACAGCTTACTTTGAATTTTGGACATTGAGATGCATTGGCATTGTGAGGACAATGACCAGATTTGCTCATCTTATTTGTCTGATAGTTTGTGTGATGAGATGTTTCGGTATTGTGTGGACAATACCTACATCATCGTCATCGTGATCTACAGATCATACATTTGATCTTGGACTATGCCTTTATTGCTTCAAAGAGTGTCGTTGTTCTTCGACGACTTTGATCATCGCGGAAGGACAACACGCGATTTTGCCTTACACTGTGGATTGGCTATTACAGTGGTCGAAAGACTACAGCGATACAACTGTATTTGGCTGACCTACATTGTGAATGTCGAACAGAACATTCTATTCTACCTTGAGGTTTGAAGCTGCGAGATGTTATCTCTATGTGGAAAGCTGACTTGGAGATGGAACGTTGTGTTTCGACTATGTTTTGTATTAAGAAGAAGGTTGTACAGAATACCTTGTATGAACCACTTCGTTCTTGAGAAGCTAACGCTTATATTAGCGTTACAGATTAATTAGCTAGCTGATTATTCACGTTTGGATGAGAATCAGTTTGCTTTGAGAACTTTTGGGAGTGTTTCTATGTTTTTGTCACAAGGTGACTGTGTAGATTTGTATCAGCTGGAATTGTTTCAACAAACCTTTATTTGAAGAACTTGAGGTTTGTTAAGTGGAAACCTAGAATCGAGTTTACCAGTTGAGACATCGGCTCAAGGGAGTGGTGTCAGAAGTTAATTTAATGAACAGAGCTGCAGTGTCACCTAACTTGACATAAGACAGACCGACAGAGGGAACACATTATCTTCTCTCGCTGTCTTGCTTTGTTTTCTTTGTTTTTTGTTTGTTTGTTGTGTTTGTGTTTCCCTGTGACTGATCGTGTTGCGTCTGGAGCGAAAAGAAGGAGTCCGACGTCAGCATGTGGGAGTCGAGGGTGAAACAGTTTTCTTGACACGACAGTATGTTAGTTTAATTAGGTTTGCGACTACACGCTCTGCGCTTGCGTTTGGTGTGCGTGTTTGACGTACGCGTCTGCCTGCGTAGTCCTGTAGGAATTTTGATGAAGCGTTAGATCTGATCGCAGATCTGTGCACGGCGCTTTTTCACACGTGGGGCGGAGGGATTTTACCCCTATCGCACTTTGAGAATTGGCTACCCTAATGGTTTCTCGGCGCAGGCTGTGGTGCATCGGGGGACCATCCACGCTGGGATGAAATTGATGTAGTTGAACATTCCAGGCAACGTTAGCCCCTTTTGGTTTGAACTCAGCTGTAATGCAGCGAATCTGTCCGTCTATTGTCTTGGTGTAGCAACATGAAGGACAAATGGGGTGACCTGGTATCCAGGACGTGCTTTGCCGGCATTAGGAGTGCTACAAGCCATTCGGAGAAGAACTCAATTACTCGTGTTTCGAGGTCTGCTAGTGCGTCCTGTACAGCTTTCAGGGCAGTGTGTTGTTGGGGCTGTTGTTTGTGAGAACTTCGGCTGCATGCCTCACATGCGCGTCTGCAAAGAAGAGTCTGCCCATTTTCGATACGCACTGGCTGGGAGTGTCCATGTTGATTGTTATCTTGGCGAGAGGCCACGGGTCGGGGAGGGTGGACAAGCAGTGCAGTAGTTCAGATGTGAGTCCTGATGGCACTGCGGGGAGTTCTTGCTGGCGGGGTCGATATGCCGCGCGGTCTTGGGTGCTGTGCCTTTGCTGCGTGTAGCATGTTCTTTGGCAGCCTCATAAGTTTGCTAGATGAGCTGCCCGTGTTGATCGACCATTGCATAGAGGTACTTGTATGCTCGAATGGCCGCCCGGCGCGTATTGGGTCCATCATCGGCTTGGTTTTGGGCTGCTTTGGCAAGTGTGTCTCTAGCCTCTTCTTCGCGCGCCCTGGCTTGGTCAACCTTGGGAGAGGTGGGCGACGAAGCCGTGGGTGTCTTATTTCAGGTGTGTCTTGCGCGCTAGGAAGGTCGGAGGGGATAGCCAAGGTGGGTTCTACTCTCTAGGCATCAAAGAAAAGGATTCCGGGCAGGGGTAGAACTTCTCGATATGGCCCAGCTGGTTGGAGGACTTAGGTGCATTGTGCAGACCTGACGGGAGGCATACGTGAGTGGGACGGATTGAGTGGTCGGCAGCGTATGCAAAAAGTGTGGTTTCTTCAAAGGGGAGATCTTGCTGAGGTACCCAGTGATTTCTGCCGTCTGCTGCTACCACCCGCAAGTCACGTAGGACGTAGGGCATGATAAGCCTGTATCGCATGCTCTTAGCATGGAGGAGTTCCGCTACGCAAAGAAAATGATTGGCCAGTTCCGCAAGAAACTGGCCCCCACACCAAGGACCCAGGGTCCGGATTTCTGTGCCTTCTTAATTCACTGCAGGGTGGACGCATTTCTCAATGCAGGCTATGTCTACCAGCGTGAATTTGCATGGCGCTGATGGGGTGATCGCGGACGACATGGAGCTGGATGTGGCTATTTTTGGCTTTTGCATGTGCAATGTGCCTGGAATTTGTTATGATGAATCCTCTCTGCAGAATCTTTGGGCTTCCTTTGTGATGAGCTGGACTGCAGGGAATTCGTTGTGGAGCAATTTCAATGTGGCACTTTGACACTGCTTTTGTTTGCTTTTCTTTCTACATCAATGAGAATGTGGACACGGTCAATGGATTACAGCACAGGGCTAATTCGAGTACACAGGTATTTTTGCAATACATCTGCAACTGGTGTGAAGATGCGACTTCGTGTGCAAGTCCTCACTGGAAGTTGAACAGATGACAGCTTTTTCTATACATATGTGTGGCATGCAAGCCTTTTGATACTTCACTGGATTTCGGCTGTCTATGAATGGGAAACGCAGCAAAAGGGGGTATGGAAATATACACTCCCGTGCATATGGACTGCATGTGCTACGTTTCTGGATGTAACTTGCATGGTGGCTACAATATGATGTTGTCAATGGTTTACTCGGGCAGAACTCTGAAATTGATGCAGAGTGGTTTGAGAACGACTGGAATTGGTTACAATACCGTGAAGATGCGTTTTATGTGCATGTGAATGTTTTTCGTCAACTTGATGATGAAGGAGAATGTTTTTGGAACTGAAATTCATTTGCAACGAGGTTTTCTGGAGTGCAAATGAATTTGGAGATGATTTTGGTGTCGACGACTTTTTGGACAAGATCAACGTTGTTTTTCAAACTCATGTGCATGCGTTTTCAACCACAACCTTGACTGGATTTGTTTTCTGCATGATGCGTTTTATTTTCGGAAGCTGCCAACTATTTTTGTCAACAGTTTGGATGTTTTTGGAATTTGTGCAAACAGTGCGTTTGAAGAGAAGTTGGAAATGGAGATGATTTTATTTTTGGAGAAATGGTGAATTCATCACCAATGAATTCACCAACATGACAAGAATGCTTTTCGACCGCCGCCGTTGCATGTTGCAAAGGCAAAGCAGCTGAAACAGAAGAAGTTCAACCATAGCATGCTGCATGTGCACGACAGATAACTTGCCTTCGCGTTTTTCCTGTGTGGAAAAGGGATTTGAGAGTTTGCAGTGACAGCCGTCGTGTTTTGGGGGAATTTGCTTTGTTAAACGCTCGACGCGGAGTTAAGCCGACCCCTTCGACGTTAGGTGCGCGACTAGTGGTTGTAATTAGGTCCTGTTGGATTTTCGCAGTACTGGTGGGCCTCCCATTGCACCTTGGGGTCTGTCAAATCCGGCTCAAGATACTCCCAGCCCAGGCAGAGATCTCAAGACCCACATCAGCTTGACCTAGAGTTTCTCCATGTTTTTTTTTTCGAGCCCGTTGCCTTTCGGCGGGCCTACGGTCACCAAATTATCCTCTTCACTTTCAGTTGCCAGCTGGTGTGAGTCCCAGCCTCCAACCATGTATGTCCAATTGCACTGACGGGCTGCAGTGCCAGATGAAGGCTGCGACACTAAAGCCTCTTCCATCCCTTCACGAGACGTGTCAGCGGGTGTCTCTGCACCTTCCTCCGTGACTTTCGCTCACGTACCGTTCAGATCTCCAGAGAAAATTCTCCGGTTTAGGTGCGCAGCGGCAGCCAAGAGGAACGTGGCCATCAAACAGGTTGCTCGGCCGCCGCCGAGGAGAACCTACAAGAGGTCTCGTCGAGCCCCGTATCGTGCCACTCGCCATGCTCATGTGGTCTATGAAGAAGACCTCGAAGGGGACTATGAAGAGCACTACGAAGACAAGACGGATGACGAGGACCTGGAGCAAGAAAGCACTGAAAGCGGGTCCGCGCCTCCCTCTCCGGGCAGAGAACCGGAATGTATGGGCCATCAAACCCATGTGGTCATGAAAACCACCAGAGCCAGCAGTTCCACCTCCAGTCAGAAGTCAATCGATCTTCCACTCTGAGAGAGAACCTAAGGCGTCTCCGGAGGAGAAGGCCAAGAAGAGCAGGGCTGACCCTCTCAATCATTCCATTTTTAGACCACTCCTTGACATCAGCTACCTTCGTTGCAGGTGGTGGAAGCGGTGGCAGCGCCACATATGCTACGTATCCTACAGTATGTCTCCACGTGGATGACGGACTGCTTCTCGTGATTTACAGGACAAGCGTGTCCAGAATCTCAAGCGGCAGATTGATGGAATGTTCAAGATCAAGGCCTGGAAGACCTTATCTGCCAAAGAACCAGTTCAATTCTTGGGCGTGGACGCGGATTCAAATGGTATTCACGACGACATGATGCAGTACATCAAACAGATCAAGGTGGAACCTTTGAGTGGCTCTGGACCACTTAATCCAAGGGAGGTGACGCTCTATCGTCAGCTCGTCATGCGTCTTCGGTGGCCGGCCCAACAGGCCATGCCACACATGCTGTATGAGATTTCAGCCCTAGCACAGCGTGTGAGCCGCGCTCAACACAGTGACTATAAGGAAGCTGTGACGCTTCATCAAAAGTTTGTGGAGGAAGCTTCCCAGGGCCGCGCCCAATTGACCTATCCCAAGCTGAAAGAGAAGGAGAAACGATTCTACATTAGCTTCTTCGATGCCTCGGTTGGAAAAGAAGACGACGGAAAATCTCAGCTTGGATCAAGTCACTTTCTCACAACAGAGAAAGCACGGTCAGGACCAGCATTGGCACCGGTGGTGGAATTCTCCACCAATAAGAGCTCTCGAGTTCTGAGGAGTTCAATGTCTGCCGAGAGCTGCAGCATGTCCATCTGTGTTGACCGTCACTTGTACGGGCGCTTGGTTTTGGATCGTCTGCTCCACGGCAACAGACCCTTGGATGAGGATTGGCGCTTGTCAATGGGTCTTGATGGAGGCGTGACCGATGCAAAGAGCCTCTATGACCATTTGAATACAACAGGTCAGCTTCCGACGGAGCGCCAGACTATGCTGGATTTGCTACTGGAGCGTATATGTTGTTTTGGGTCCCCACTCATCGACAGCACGCCGATGGCTTAACGCAAGCTGCGCCAGGGGCAGCGGCAGCGCCGCAAAGAAAAGATCAAGGGCCGCGCCCTGGGACCGGCAGCGCCAGACCATAATTTGCGCAACACACCAACACGTTTCCCTTCCGATGTGAAAGACAAAGGTAGGTAGAGACTAGCTTGGTGTAGCAGTTGCATGTTTCTTTTGCACATGCGCATTCTCACCGCAGTCTGGACCAGACATCTTAGCGCTAGAAAAAATTGCCCCGCTGCTTTAGTTTTTTCGTGTGGGCCCATTAGCTGCCTTTGCACTCCGCAAAAGCCTCGTTTGCTACAACTCGGGTTGGAAGCGTGCGAGACAGTAGCTGACGGTTCCTGTCAGTTTCTTAGTGTTTGTTTCACTGCAGGTATTCCAGTGGATCCAGCTGACTTCCAGTCCCAGTGTGTGAATTATCTCCGCCACTTGCCGCACCTATTTACCGAAAAAATCAATGCCAAGTTCGCCAGCTTTGAAGCCTACCTGCAAAACATGAGCAGGCCGTCGACTTGGGGCGATGAACTGACGCTTCAAGCTGCAGCATGTCTGTTGCTGACATGCATTCGTGTTCTCTCTGATTATACGAAGGTGAATCAGAACGTTGTTTCACTCCACCCCCTACTTTTGCCCAAGAAGTTTGGAGAAAAAAAATGTGACATGCCACATTGGCAACAATCACTTTGAAGCAACGGCTCCACTGGCTGAAGGCCAGAAAGATGTGAAGGTGGAACCCAAACGGATTAAAATAGAGCGATAGAAAAAAAGGCGCGGCTCCAGATTTGAGACCGTTTCTGATTGGTTCTTACCAGAACTGAATCAAATTTACAATCAATACTTTTCAGTTTCTCCGTTCCACATTGACACTCTCAACTTCAGTGTGAATCCAAAAAGAAAAACTTGGGTCAGCCAAACCCAGGGGAAGGCTCAAATCCAGAGTGAACCTCTTCTCAACTCTTGATTCTATCCACACCCCAGTTTGCACACAGATGCTTTTCCCGCAGAAAAAAAATCACACAGAAACTCTTGCACGCAAGGGTTTTTACACGCACATATTCGTATCCAGTATCCACACAAACTTTTCCACACACAAGCAGGGACACTGTGCGACAAAACAAAAACTGAGATGATGTGTGTTTGATACATTTCCTTCAGGTAAATTCAATGGAACATATTTTTCCCTGAAAATGAGAAGGTGTGGGAAGACCCGCTGAAGGAAAAATGGCAGTGCAGAGGCTGTGATGCACCCATGTGCCGCACCCCGACGGTCAGGGAGAACAAACATGCGGTTAAAATTTGGGTGTGGGTCAAAATGGAAGACCTAGGGGACCACAGATATTAGTCTAGTTTAGTATTAACCATCCAATTGTTGGGGTACCTAATTTTGACCCATACCCATTTCCCAACTGACATACCATTCTGTGGTTCCAACTGCGTTCTTTGGTTCCGACTATGTCTGTTGGATTGTGTGGACACGCCCTGCTGGAAAATCAACCACGTGTTTCATGATTTTCCCCAACAAAAAAAACAAGATGCCCCGTGTCAAATCGCTTGGTGTGGCGTGCATGCAATGACGGAAATTTTTGAGTCTCGGTAGTG